ATAGGCGTTTACGTGCGCGCGTAAGACCTTTACGGCTGCGAATATGCTTGTGCGCATGCGCATAAAACATTTACGCATGCGCGTTTAATGTATAACAGACGGTATAAGCTAAGCTAAAATTATCTAATTCAGTTAATGTTGCAGATTGCGTTGTTCCTTAATCTTCGAATTGGATCCGGCTTATTATTTTTTGCAGACTGTTAGAGCAATTTTATAAAAGTAAGCTTAAACTTTCGATTATATCAAATAGAATTTCCGATATATATTTGTTAATATGTAAAGGATCTAAAGCGAAAGTATGTTTCGAAATCCGAAATCTGTTTATCAATTTCACGCTGCTCGGCAGGGGGGAACGCCGCGGCGCGCAATGAATTGGAAGTTGATCTGTCAGCACTATCCTTATCTTCAGGGCAGATGTTTTTATTTTATTTGGCTTATAATTCCTTACCAAATGTAGTATTTCATCTCGATGTACTTCGTCTTTGATATGATTTAAAACAAGTTCCTCATCATTATAATTCGCTTCCGATAGTGAAGAAGTTATTGAAAACGAAAAAATTTTGATTGACAAATTAGTCGGTATTCTCGAGACAGCAATTATAGGACTTGAACAGCGGAACTTTGTAACTAAATAAGAAATTATGTCTGTTTAATAGAATTAAAGAGAAAGTATTATCACATGAAACGAAGCAACTTAAACAACTTACATTAAAAGAAATGTTTAATAAAGTAAACAAATAAATATTAAGCTTTTTCTTTTTGTAAATTTTGATACCCTTTAGATCATAATTGTTCTTTATTTCATAAATTACGGTTTCATATTTTTAATTTTGTAATTTCTGCATGACATCTTACCAGATTTAAACTGATGATCTATAATCCGGAAAAAGACTTTTGACTGTACTCAGTTTTCTATTAAGATAGTTTTACAGTTTTTTTTTTTTTTCATTATTAACGTTTTATGTGTGTATTTATTAAATACCATGTTCTTGGGGCTTATGTCTCATAAAATTTGATTAAACCGCATATCTTTAGAATTTTCAACAGGCAGTCTCACACGCCGAAGTTAAAATTGTTCTATTCCATACAGTGTTGCCACTCCTAATTTTGAAATTGTTAATAAAAAAATTTTAGTTATCAAAATATGAAATGGAATAATGAAACAAATTCAAAATTCTGACTTCCAGGTGCTCATGTTCGAGTGGAGGACTATGTTATTTAAAATTTGATAGCTCTAAGTACCATTGCTTTTTCACAATGCAAGAAGCATGCATACCTTCACGCAGATTCTTCGTTATTTAATTTCTTTAGGGTAAGAATTACATAGTAATATTTGATCACAACAATTTGAAAAGCGGCACACTGTTTTTAGAGATTCAATGCAAAGTGCTGTTTTGAGACTAATGTCCATTTTGGGCTAAGAAAAAGGAAAAAGAATAATTTAAAAACAAACATACTGCACAATTTCTTCAATTAAAAAAGAATGGATACTTTAATGAAGATTTTTTGTATTATTTCAGGAACAAATTCCATTAAGAAATTATTTAAAATATATGCAATATTTATTTTTGATTTATGTTGTTGTTGCATATGGCTTTATTGGAAAGATTGATTCAAACACATAAAACATCTCAAGTATCACACAAGAACAATGATATATATAATAAAAAAGAATGGCATTCTAGTATGGTTTACTTATCTCACCACATTTCTGAGACTATCTAGTTCTGGGCATAGAAGATGATCTGCATTCATGATGCCCGATTTGTAAATCTGGCATATACTAGATGGAAGGATGCCCAATTTTATTAAGATGATATGCTATGTAATAATGGCCTGTTTGTAGTCTGACGCTTTTAATGCCTCTTTACGGGGTTTTTGACAAAACATTTTCCATGTGTCTTTTGACATTAGCCCAGGATTTGCCTGTTGATCTTGTTGCCAGGACAGATATTTATGATTTATAATGTTTTGTTTTTTGAAAGCTTTACTTATCCACTGAAAAGTTTTCAGAACATTTTCATAACATGTATTTGACAGTTGTAACACATTTCTGTGTTTCAAATCAAATTTCTATTATAGAAAAGCCCCCCCCCCAACCCATCAGCCTAAAACCTAAAAGCAGACTGAAAAATGGAAATTCCTTAACCTTTTACACGCCAATGTTCCATAAATGGAACATCGAATTTAAAATTTTATAAAAAACACAATTTTATTAATATTGCTTTGTATAAATTATTACATGGAGAGTAAATATGGATAAATGTTTTAGTAGCAATATAATTCTTCTAAAAGAAAAATTATCTTGATAAAAAAATTCATTATTTCACCTTTTTTCCTTCTTTTCTAAGAGCAAAATTCAGAAATTCATATAAAATTAAAAATTCAACAAATGTTTTTAAAACGCAATGAGGATATTTAGAAGAGGATCATTTTATGCATAGACAGTAAGTTATTCATAAGAAAGATGATTATTATTTTTTTTACTTATGAGGTAAGAAATATGGATGTTCCAGAAAGGGAACATTGGCGTGTAAAGGTTATATTTTTCAACATAATTGAATTACTTTGATTGCCGTGAATAGAGGCACGGAGGAATGATTTTCCAAATGTGAAAAGTTCCAGTAAGTGTGGAAAACAGATATTTATGACTGTTAATCTGTTTTCGACTCCCGTATATTCCCCTTCCTCTCCTTTCACACATTCCCATAAGGGTGTGAAGTGAGTTATCACAGCTGCTAGAGAAAAGCACGTGGCATTTCTTGATAGGCCTAGACTGCTAGAGGTTGTTTATGACACCAGTGAAAAAGGTGTATATTTTGGAGTGTGGATTTCATTATTTTCCCATTGTTTGCATTTTTTTTTTCAGTTTGTGAAGATACGCTAGGCTGATAAGATGGGTCATTCAAAACCATTTCAGTCTATTGAAGAAGCATTGGAATATTTTAATACATTATCAGATGATGAAGAGTGTACTGATATTTGTCAACTGCCTCCAAAAGAAACTGGATGTTTGACAGATGAGGAAGATGTAAATGAAGATATTTTTGGGCCTGTTCTGCCAGCGGATGTATGTGGAAAAATCAAAATTTCTAATAAAATAGATGATTAAGAAATATCTCAAGAAATTTCATTTCATCCTCAAGAACCTTCATCTTCAAAGGGAAGGAAGAATTTGAAGCCAAAACTAAATGCGAAAGAGAAAAACATTCAACATCCATGGGGGAAAAATTTTAATTTTAACAAAATTCTAAAAACTGGCAGCATTGAAAATATCTGCAAAGTGTTTCCTGAACTAGTTACTTTATCTCCAGTTGAAATTTTTCACAAATTCCTAATTGAAATTTTTCACAAATTCCTAACTAGAGAATAGCAAATATTACAGATCTTTACGCAATGCAGAAAGGAGAAGTTTTAGCAGTAGATGAAAATGATATTGGACAGTTTTTTTGGATTACTGTTGTTTAGTGGGTATCATAGAGTACCCGGTCAAGATTTATACTGGAGCACTCAAGGAGATTTATCTGTCCCAGTAGTTTCTTCTGCCAAGAAATAGATTTTGAAAACTGAAAAAATATTTTCATGTTATAAATAATACGAAGTTGGCATTATGATATAAAACAGGAAAAGTTTCTCCTTTTTATGAAGAACTGGAAAAAAACTTTCAACAGTTCGGCATCTTCCATTCCTGCAGTGTGAATTTTTGTATGGAGATTATTTGTTACTTGTTTCTACAACTCTTTTCCTTGTTTCAGTATGAACTGCTAACAATTAATGTAGAATTCGTTTATAAATTCTTTCTTATCAACTATGTAATTTTTGTTTAATTTATTACGAAAGCCTTTTTCTGTGGAAGCTTCATATCTTCTCCTAAGAAATTTTGGTGAAGTAGCTTTGTGGCTATAAAGGTGTAGGCTCTCTATTTTTCTGCTTTATCTATGTTACTTCCGAATAACGTTGACAAATTCGCTTGCTAATGCTGAAAAAGTGCAGCCAAAAATGAAGCTTCGAATTAGAATGTCGATAATCATGTTTTACAAAAATCATGTAAAAAAACTGTTTCCCGCCAATGTTCCTTTTATGGAACATGTTATAAATCATTAAAAACATTTTTTAAATTATTTTTTTCTTTTTTCATAATTCTTATGTTTGAGTTTTAAATCGATTTTTCACAAAAAAAAAAAAAAAAAAAAAAAAAAAAGTTTATTTTACTTTCGCATCATAGTTTGGCATGTAAAAGGTTAATAATACTTCTAAAATTGTTTCATGAATTAATATGTTGGTTTTCTCAGAGTTTAATATGAATATGAGGCAATTTATTCTACAATGTAACATCCAACCCATAGGGAATTACTCCTTGCGTGTTTTGTCATCAAATCTAAAATCTTTTTATTACATGACTAATTTTTTCAATACATCCTAAGACACATTCCTTAACTTCAGTACTAACAAAGATATCCTAAAAAAATTAAATAATAAAATCCCAACATGTACCTAACAAAGCGCATTAAGTAACTTATAACAGTAAAACATAGGATCTATTTATTCGCAGACATTATTTGCCACTTCCTTTTGATTCAATTTTAGCATTCGATTATTCTGAACCATTATCTTCTTATTCAACATGAATTTATTTTATCTTAAAAATGCAATTTTTATGAGCCATCTTATACTTTAACTATCTGAACCATTATCTTCTTATTCAATATCAATCTACTTCACTTTATCTTAAAAATCCAATTTTTATGAGCCATCTTATAATTTAACCATCTGCTGAAACTAAAAGCTTTTCTGATGAAACATTTTTTAATGAATGCTGTATGCATGAAAAGATAGGTGAATCGGCAAATGAATAAAAATTACCATTCTAAGATTTTTGAAGATATTAAAATGAATAAGTGCTAAAATTGGAAAAATGCTATAAATCACACTATTCTTATTCACATCTCGGAGATATAGAGTAACAAATGGTTTCTTAATAACTCGGATTAACAGAAATATTCAAAAACCAAATTTTTTGTTTTAATTTTCATTAAAAACTGCAAAACAATATATGGAAATTAATAAAAACAAAATGCAATTATAAGAATAAAATCCACTCCAGATTTTCATAAGCAATTATAATGCCTTAATACTTTTTCAGTTTTTAATTTCAGTGCAATTGCATTCAATTAAGTTTTAAGACTATCTAAGTGCATTTTAGATAATGCACATGGCATTAATTTAAAATGTATAAAAAGTTTTTATACCTAAAAAACAATTTAAATAAAATAAATGCTTCATTCAAATTACTTCCCGCCACCAGCAGAAAGTAAGACATGTAATACAAGTGTAAGTTTTTTTATAGTAACAATCAAATAAAGAATATTTAAAATTTCAAAATAAAGATGACATTTTTGCATAAAAGGAAAAGCATACATTTTATTATTCCAAATAAAAAAGAAAACAAGTGTTCTATATATTTTATATTAACAGTTTCCAAAAGATTTAACAAAATTATATAGAAAGCATTTGTGACCAATGAATATATTTCAAAAAGAGGTTTCAGCCTCCATATAGTTTAATACTAAACATCCTGAGAGAACATTAAGTAGAGATAGACTAAGCAATAAAATGGTAAACATTATACAGTAATATGTACACGCATGAGAAAAGAGAAGCATATGGCATTTCATACATTTTAAAAATACTGTATCAACTACCTCAATTAAAAACTGAAATAGATCAGATAAATAACATGGCTTCTTAATCCAAGATAAAGTTAATATAACCACAGACGTTATATTCAAATACTATGAATACACTTTACTTTGGTTTACATATCAAAATGCATATTTATATATATTTTAGGACAAAGCATAATTTTTTAGAAGAATTAATACTGCCAAGTTATAACAATGTATGATTTTCAATATATATGATTAAGTTAGTTTGCACAAGATATAAATTCTCAAACAATAAGCAAAACATTTAGAGTTCGGTTTTCAGCCCTTGAAGTTGTTGATCAAACAAGAATTCAGCTAATGGTGAAGGCTCCATGCTACTTAAAATTGAGATGTATCGCTGTAATTTGTCAATTGATTTCACTTGCTCATCGAAGAACTCACTTTCCAGGAAATCCATCAACTACAAATATATATATATATAATATATCATAAAATATTGAATTAAAGGTGATTATAATTAAAATTCTAATTCTTTAAGCACTGTTAAGTAAGAACCACTGGTCAGAATGACATGAAATTCAACCTGACTATTCATGAAGCAAATGATGGCAAAGTACAAAAATAAAATACACCTATATATATGACACTTTAATCATCAAACATGGAGTATAGTTAACTGATGGGAAAGAATAATTAGGTATGGGAAAATGATAATTCAATTAATACACAAAGAATTCAAGGAAATATCACAGAAAGGAAATTATGAAATAAATATCTATGGCTGATGCAAGAAATGTATGCAAAGAATGTTTATATTCTCCCCTCACCAAATTCTTCCACACGATGAAAATACAAAATGTTTGACGATAAGGCTATTCCCTGTGAACTTCCGACACTGCTGTTCTATTCCTGCAATGCTGTAGCTCAGCTTTTCTTAACCCCTTCGAGCTGGGTAGCGAAAACGCGCGCTTATCGCGGAGGCCGGCAGTGTCTTTCGCGAGCGTCTCTCTAGGGCCGGGGCTTTTTTGCTACTAAGCCTAAAAATCCATGAAATTTCCGAAGTATTAACGCATTGTTTAATAATGCTCTATAGAGTATTTAAACAGCTTATGCTTTATAATATTTTTATATTTATACTTTAATACTTATTCTTGTTTAAATGCATATTTACATTTTATTTTAATTACTCACCATTTTATGACTTTTAACTTATAATCTGAAAACTAAATATATTACTTAAAAATTCTCTTTTTCGTATGAAAAATTTTAAACAGGATCTACACATAGTCTATGTTACATTCCTTGAACTCGTAAATAACTCATTGCCGTTTGGAGGATTTTCCGGGAATGTGAACAAACGAAGCATCGTCGTCTCATTTTTTATCAGTCTCTTCTGAACAAAGTTTTGGAAAATGTCTTTCAGTTAATCTTTCAAGAATCAATATCAGAATTTCAGAATCAATATCTGAAATATTTTGCATCATTTCTGCTATTTCATGCTCTTAAACATTTCGACGCTTCGACATTGAAACGGTAAAATAGAAAGATTCACGTCTAACAGATCTAATTATTTTCTAAAAAACTGAATGTAAATGGAATACTCAACGCTTTAGCGCATAAAAACTTCTACTTACAATAAACAACTACCATGTGCGAATAAAGTGCGATTTAAGAGACGTCATAAATTACGCCATTCGGAAACATTTAGTCCCGTTTGTCATATAATCAAAAACACGTATGTGAGTCATGCTTCTCTCATTTCAAGTAGAAGGTCTAATGCACATGTATCTGAAACATATGGACATACAGTGCCATCTTGTGGCAGAATTATAGTTTGAAAAACGTTCCAAGGTACTGGCACAAATACGTGACAGTGGTAGAGATGCAACAATGCTCTGGCACGCCTGCGTGTCGGCCGGAGATAAGTGTGTTCGTTGCTGGCACGTATACATGACAGTCGGGCGAGGGGTTAATACACTTTTTTTTTTTTTTTCCAAATGGGGTCACTTTTATAAAGTTAGAATATCTGTGGACCACCTTACTCTTGTCCTCTTTGAAACCCATGTTTTTAGCATACACTACAACCAAATATTAATTTTTAAAAATATAATTAGTTAAAATTCATTTAAAATTAATAAGAAGAAATAAATTAATGGAAGAAAATTTATACTAATTGTTAATACGTTTTTAATAATTCTAATAAAGTTTTGATAGTGGTTCTTAACCCGTTTTGCTTCACATACTCCCTTCACCAATGCTGAAAGATCATTCCTCCCCTCCCTTTCTAAACTTGAAAAATACACATCCTTTTTTTTTAGATTTTGATTATTTTTTTAAGGAGTTCTAAAAAATAACCCTCTAAGTGGCATGAATTTTTGGATCTCTTCATGAAGAATTTAAACAACATTTATTTGCTAAATTTGTATAATTATATATTTTAGTTTCTATTTTCATGAATTTACATTCATTAAGATGATATTTACATTATTAAAAAGATGTAAGAAAGCAAAATATCTTAAATTATAAGATAATCTCATGATAAGCTAGTAATGCCCCTCAAGGAAGTTGTATAACAAAAATATACAGAATGCTGACAAAAACTAAAACTTGAATAAAAGTAGTTTCTTATAGTTATAAATTAGAACTAAACACTAAATAATTGACTATCTGTATTCCCTCTTCCCTCACAGTATGAAATTCCTTCCCAAGAAAGAATTCCCCCTGGCTGAGAATACATGCTTTATTTTGTTAACTATAAATTAATGAAACATTAGTATTCACAAATTAATGTTTTATCCTGAATTTAGAAATGCAAAATACTTTTGTCAATAAGATGTTTTTTGCTTGATCTACTGGGATTATGCATGTAATATCCAGTTTTCCCAGCAATGCACGATAATTTTATATTTAAAAAATACTCTGATATTACATCTATTAAATCTATTCGTTTGAGGTGATTAAGATAAGTAACTACATAAAAAGAACTATTAAAAATGTGTGAAAATGTTTTGGTTAATAATTTTACAATATTACCTTTAAAACAGCTTTACTTTATTAAGCATCAGAATGTAAACCACACTGAAATCACTTATTGCAGATTATTTGACTGCCTACTTATTCAAAGAAATCTTGGCTACGTAATTTCACTTCCTTCGGATTCACACCTTGAATCCATAATAAAAGTTATTTTGGTATGCAAAAATAACCAAAGAAACCAAAATTACAGAAAATACAAAATGGTTATGTTTTCCATTCATAGCAGGAAATCTCACTGTGAAAAATGTGAAGAAAGTAGGACTAGTAATAAAAAAAAAAAAAAAAAAAAAAATCATGGAATATAATATAGGAAATGATGAGTTCACTTTCAATGATACAATTTCATTCTTCGTTGCCTAACATGCAAAGCTGACCATATTGGCTTAAAAAAGCTAAACAAGTGTGACATGTGATGCCAACTAAGAAGGGGTTAATCATAGCCAACATAACAACATATCAACAAAAAGAACTGCTGCATCTCTCTGCAATAACTCTCTCCAGAATACTGTACCATCAACAGATGCAGAACTCAATTCTATAAAATGAAAATGTCGCACTTAAGTTTCCACAGCAACACAACTGAGTATCCTTGCCACACAGTGAGAGATAGCGAAGGATATAAAAAATACATTTTAAATTATACAATAGTAATTGTGGTAGTAAAGTTACAAAATAAAACACATGATAAATAAAATTGCATAATGAAAATACTGAATAAACAGAATATATACAAGTTTCATGCAGGTAGTAGACAAATGTTGAGGGAATCTGATATGTCATCACAATTTTTTGATAGTTTTAGGAATAGTTAACATGGTATTTTTCAATGTGTCTGTCTTACTGTTTAGGAATAGTTAACATAGTATTTTTCAATGTGTCTGTCTTACTGGAAGGTTTAGTGTTATACACAACAGTTTTAACACAAATAAAAAACAAGGATTGCAGTCAATCACCTGAAACAGTTTGATTCTTACCGTGCACGGAGATGAGAAAAGTTTTTTCATGTCATGAGGACCTGAGTACGGTTGCTGAAAAAGGAGGCTTGACAGAGTCACCTCTCAGATAATTTCAAAGATGGATGAATGGGGACAGACTCTTAGGGTTCGTACACATTTCTACACACGGAAATTAAGTACTTTTAAGGAGCATTAATGAAAAAATTAAGGACCTATGAGCAAATGGGAACTGAATAAATTCAATTAAAAATATCATTTTATGCCTGAATTTCACTTTTGTAATACCATCCTAAAAATAAAATAGATCCCTAAGTAGTGTGCATTATTACTAAACATAAATTAACATAATTATTAATAAGTTTGAGAATATGAGAATACAGTAAACTTTATGCAAGAATATGAGAATACAGTAAACTTTATACAATTTGCATAAAGTTTACTGCATCTTCAACTATTATATATTTACACTTATAATAGTTGGACATATTTGAAAGAAGATAAGTGTCATTTACGTTTTACTAATAATTAGCTTTATGTTGATTTTTTTATGTCTCATTTTGTCACATACTTGATCAGTCTAGAGATTTAGTAAATAGCAGTTATTAGATTTTTATGTCAAGCAGCAAAGGTTAAAATGAGAAGTACGATCATAATCAGCATGATTCATAACAAGACTGAATGTTGTCACCACTGCTGATTGTTCAGAGAGAGACATGCTGATTCGAACAAACCTGAAAGACCTGATGTAGGTATGGTTGGTAAGTGTTGAAATTTAGTCAGGCTCTGTTTGATGCAGTTAGTGTCATAGTTTTGTGTAGAGTTCCAGATGTTGTAACTCAGTTAATATACTTTAAGGTCGCAATAAGCCATTAAAGCACCAGAGGTGATAAGTTGTTTTGTATTATTTTAAGTCTCACTAGATGCAAAGAGTAAGTTTTACTTGAATTTTTAGATTTTTGTGTTTTATCTTGTGACCACAGCGAGTATTAATGAAAGGCAATAACTCTCTTTAATATGTAGAGATAATTTTTAAGGGTGAGTAATTAATTATAAATGATTAAATTAGGTAATTAGACAACCTTAGTCATTATGGATTTACATGGCATCTATTAAATTTTATTTTTTTAACAATATTTATTAAAAAAAAGCCCTATTAAAACCACAATCTAATAGAATTTCAGTTTAAAATACATGTAATTTATGACATTGATTCTTAAACGATATTAGAGATAATTACAACATTAAAAGCTAAAAAGCATTTCATGTTTCATAACAACCAACACTCAACAAAATAGTTATCCATCATTTTGACTTGAAGCCTTCCCAACATTTTGGCTAGTTTATATTGACTTTCCTTCTCTTTAAGCCGTATTTTCTAACAATAAGAGATTCGTCTCAATATGCAAACCACTGCTCTCGACTAGTTTCTGCGTGCTTTATCTCCTAACTTGTCAACTTCTCCACAATGTACCAATAAGGGTTTACTTAGATCTGGTAAAAGTTAAATAGTCCCAAACGGCAGACACACATGAAGCAAAGTTATTGCTAAGTCTGAAAGTAACTACAATATCAGACAAAGATTTAAATAAGCCTCTTATTTAAAAAGAACTTAGAACATGAAGTCATGTTCTGATGGTAACAAAATCAATTACAGCTCACGGTGACGTAACAAGAGCAGTCAAATTCAAAAACAAAATGTGGACTAGTGGCCAAAGATGATACAATTTAATTTTAATTTAATCTGGCTCAGTAACTTATCATTTCAGGAAATAGAAATGGAAAATTATAGTAAAGGCAGAAATCATAAAAAACTGGGTAATTTACTTAATAATAACTGCACCTATTTTTGAAGAATAATTTTCTTTATGTATTCAGTTTCTTTCTACAACTCCTTTACCTATTCATTTTAGAATTTTGGGATTATTCTGTTATTCTAAAAAACACTAAATGCATTTAGAATATATAGAAAAAGTGGCTAATTTTAATTCTTTAGTAATATGAATATTCAGAAGAAATATGAAATATATATGGTAAAGGCCGGTTGCTGGTGTGGCAGAATTTTTAGAACTTATTGACACATGAAACAACAAAATCTAGAAATGGCAAAACTTTTAGAATTTAGAGGAGGCATTGGAAGCAGAATTTTTAGGACTTTTAAAGACTCCTAAGGACCGTACAAATCGAACGAAATCTTGAAGTACTTTTCAGAGCCTCTGAAAAGTGCTTTAAGATTTTGCAATGGAAATCAGAGACTGCATTATGAATCGTAAGCGATTAAAACATATGTTGGTGTTGAGCATGGTGGTGTAAGTTGATCTGAGCACAAGATATCCGAAAGCAATCTTAAGGTACTCGGAACAAGTTGTTTGGATGTCGTCGTCTGATGGCCGGTTAAATACTCAAAAGTATAAGAGGTATTGATTCTGTCCAGTGAGGATTTTCTTGTGCTGTTTTTCAGCTGCCGATGGAACCGTTCAGTGATTCCATTTGCCTTAGATCTATAAGCAGTGATACAAATATGATAATACCCAGCAGGTTTGTGAACTTGTCTGAAAATACACGACACTGGTCAGAAATGATAGAGAATGAATGGACACCCAAAATGAGAACCCATTTAATAATCAAAGCATTACAAGTTGCTTCAGCTGAGATATAAGATGTATCGGGCCATGGCCATCATGTGAAATGATTGATTATGGTCAAGCAACATTGATAACTTTCAGAAATTGGCAATGAAGTCAATGTGAATATGAGAAAATCTGGCATTAGGAAGTAAATATGTCAGCCTTCAGAAATTGGTAATAAAGTCTATGTGAATATGAGACAATCTGGCATTAGTAAAAATGCTGAAATGGGCGATTTCATATGTTTGTGCAACTTTCAGCATTAACATTTCTCAAAAGAACCTTAAGAGTTCTTTGAACCTTCCTTTCACCTTGGAAGAGTTCTTGATAAAAGTATCCATGTTAGAACAAATGTAATGTTTGCATATCAATTTTGACGTGACAGATATATCTAGATGCAAGAGGCTGTGAATAATTTGGAAGATGATATGTCTAAATGAAAAGGGAATGAAAAAATGAGGAACACTGCTTTCACAATCACGAGAGAGAGAAATATCTTCAAGAGGGAAACACTGTCTACAAGTTAAGCTGAAGCTAATTGTTTAAAATCATGAATAGGTGACCGAGAAATAGAATCTATTTCTATTGGGGAGAGTGTGTTGGCATAATATTTTCCCTCTTTAACATATTGTATATCAGCAGAAAATTGAGATATCTAATCTAGGTATCTTAACTGTCAAGGAGAGCACTTTTCTGCCTTATGTCTGAAAGCGAATGTCTGTGGTTTGTAGTCAGTAAATATGAAAAAGTTGCGACCTTCTAACATGTGCTGAAATTTCCCAATAAATTCCTATGTTGCCAAAAGTTCGCAATCATATGCAGAGCATTTCATTTGCCTCTTATTCAATTTTAAAGAAAGGAATGCTACTGGCTCTCACTGACCATTTTGGATTTGCATAAGAGAGCTGCCAATAGCAATGTGAGATGCATCAGTCCGAAGACGAGCTGAGCACCAGAATTTGGATTGCTTAAAAGGTCTTTAGCTCCTACAAATGCCCTGTCAGCTTCCTCAGAGCTATCAGTCTTTTCAGTTTGACAGAAGAAAAACCCAAGAAATTTAAGGTAGGAACTCCAAATCCTTTTTAGACACCATATGCAGTGGCAAAGCGTAGTTGCCATTGGATGGGCTGTATGTGGGCTAAATCCAACATATGCTGAAATTCTATTTTTGCAATTTTCAAACGATCAGGTGCAAGTTGACGTGATTTGGAAAAAACAAGATGGCAAAAAATTTCAGTATGATGCTAAACTGAATGTTTTACAATTTAGTTTGCATATGAAGCTTGAACAATATTAGAAAAATCGTTTAACAACTTAAAATGATTATCATCACAAAATACAGATTTTACAGAATATACGAGGGCCATCCAGGAAGTAGATTACGTTTCCGTCTGTGTCCGCTAGGGGCGGGGCTAGCGCGGCCATCTTGGGGTCAGAGCGTTACGCAGCTCAGTCTGCATCTAGCCGTGCTAGTGAGAGGTTCGTGCTGTGCTCCGTTCAGATACTGTGACGGTTTGAAATGTCTGCGTTAATTGAAAATCCCGCGAGGTGCGCTCAGTAATAAGGTTTCTGACTGCAAAAAACTGTAAACCGATAGAAATCTATCGGCAGCTTCGTGAAGTGTATGGGGACAACATTATCACTGAAGGTGGAGTGCGTCAGTGGGTCATAAGATTTCAAAATGGCCGAACCAATGTTCACGACGAAGATCGAAGTGGGAGACCCAGCATAGTGACCACCGCCGAACTTCTCGAAAAAGTCGATGCTAAAGTCCGTGAAAATCGAAATTTCACAATAACGGAACTTTCTTTGAGTTTTCCACAAATTTCGCGAAGTTTGTTGCACGAAAATCATCAGCGAAAAGCTTGGTTACCACAAGTTTTGTGCAAGATGGATTCCAAAAATCTTGACAGAGGACCACAAAAATCAGCGAATGGCTGCAGCGTTGAACTTTTTGGACGCTTACCATAAGGATGGTGACTCTTTACTCGATCGCATCGTTACTGGTGACGAAACATGGGTGAAACATGTGAACTGTGAAACGAAATTGCAATCAATGCAGTGGGGGCACACAAGTTCTCCCCAAAAACCCAAGAAATGCATGCAAACAATGTCGGCAAGGAAGATGATGGCGACTGTTTTTTTGGGACAGAAAAGGTGTAATTTTGGTGGACTTCCTGGAAAGAGGCACTACAATAAACTCTCAAAGGTATTGCCAAACTCTCCAAAAACTCAGAAGAGCAATTCAAAACAAGCGCAGAGGAATGTTGAGCTCTAAGATCTTGTTGATTCACGACAACGCCCGGCCCCACACGGCAAATGTCACTCGTAAAGTTCTTGAATCTTTTAAGTGGGAGTTGTTTCCTCATCCGCCGTACAGTCCCGACCTGGCACCGAGCGACTTCCACCTATTCCCAGCAATGAAGAAGTGGCTGGCTATGCAGCGTTTTGATGACGACGCACAGCTGCAAGAAGAGGTAACGAAGTGGTTGAAGGCGCAGGCGGCCGAATTTTTCGACGAAGGAATTTCCAAGCTCGTACATCGCTACGATAAATGCCCTAATTTGTATGGTGACTATGTAGAAAAGTAGTATTTGAGTGTGGCTTTCATCTGTATATAATAAAATTTGTTTCCTATACTTTGTTTATTTTTTTATTCCAAAACGTAATCTACTTTCTGGATAGCCCTCGTATACTAGCAATATGCAAAATTCCATGAGGGTAATTTAATTTGGTGCACGTGCCACTTAAATGACAGTTTCTAAAAATCTGGTTCGAGGATGAAAAAATATATGAAATCTGCACCAATTATAGTAGTTCGAACATAAGCATATATAAAAAGAGTACACAAATTGTTTTTTGTTAACCTTTTTAAGAAGAGATGGCCATTATACTGGGTCTTGGTATTCCCTGTTTGAAAGGACCGAATCCCCTTTTTCTTAATTTTTTTCACAACATCGATTTCCAAGAGACTTTAAACTCTTTATTTTATAAAACCACTTTCTTTCCCACTTCAGTTTTGCTAACCAGATGGCACTACATGCTCATCTGTTAAATTTCATGAAATTTCATCTGTTAAAAGTAATTCAAAGTCTGTATGTAAATGAGATGAAACTGAAAATGAAAAAGTCTCTTGAAATGCATAAAATCATCCCATTGAATAGATGTCAATCTTAAATTTAAAAATACATACTTTAGCAATATATACTTACATGTTGATCCACACACTGTAGAGCAGCAATATCATGAAGATGATATAATTTATTGTTGACATGTTTCTCTAAATTAGCAGCATCTTGTAAAGCATCAACTGCTTTGTTCCATGCTGATTTACTAGGCATCTAAAATCCACATTATACTTTAAAACATAGCTGAAATGCATAACATTTAATAAACATATTTATCATAATATATTTTCAATTAGCCCCAAGTTTTTAAAAAATATTGTAAATTTTATGCTGATAAAACATTCTACGTTAAGACAATAGTCTGGAAATTCGCGACTTACAGTGTTAACAGATTTTGCAACAAACAATACCTTTTAATTCCAGTTAAATGATTTGTTACATGAATTTCCATAACAGAATACTATTAAATGTAAATACTTACTTTCACATCAAAACCAGAAAATCTAGCACCTCTAGAATTTAAGTAGTCGATGAATTTGTGCGCATGTTCTCGTTCTTCAACTGAATTTTCAGCAAAAAACTTTGCCAAACCTTTTCTAGCAACAGTATTATGGTCGAAATGAGCTGCCTAGGAGGAAAAATAAAAGGCAACGTTATAATTTCAGAAATAAAATAAATAGCAGTATCTCAACATTCTTATAGGAATAAAACTTTCTGTATTAATTCTTCACTTAATAATAATCATTCAAAATATAGCATGGATAAAATGCCATGGGGAAAAATAGTATGGATGCAGGTCAAAATGATGTGCAAACAGAATGTTGATTTATGTTAACATTGTTCAGTCAAATGATCCACTGATTTTTCCATAAATTTTAAAAAGTTTAGAAGTTATTTTTCCTTTTTTTGTACAATTATTTATATTAATGGCTAAAGTAAACTTGTAAGTGCACATAAAATTTGGAAATTTTGCAGTTAGATAATCGTATTATTCTGATTTTTTTTTTAATCAATTTGAATCAATAAAATTGTGGAATACTTCTTTTGCTCAATTATGTGTTCTCTGTTTTGATTGCTATTTTTTATTTTTAAATAGTGAAAATAGAATTCTTTTAATTTCATTAATATTTTACAGTACTTCTAATTTTCACTATAGTTAATTCACAGAACCCTTATTAACTATAAGGTATTTTTTGAGGTGGAACCCATCCCACCCTTAGAAAAATTTATCTTAAATATTTAAAGTATATTAATATGATACAGTGTTATAGGTACTTTATGCAAAGATAATTAGAGAAAAGTACTGTACTTTTTGTCAAAAAATTTTTATATAAAATTAAGGTAACTAACTCATTAATAACATTAACTCGTACTCCAGATTTCACCTACCCTTGTATTATACTCAGTGACACGGGTATGCTTGCATTTTTTTTACACAGATTGTCCAAGACTAATTTCATAGTCTGATTCAATATGAATCTATTTTGTTTTCGTTGCTGGATAAGTTCAAAAAATTTTTTTACTTAAATACATTGTTCCAAATGGCATTCAAATATTTATACCTATGTGAGAAACTTAAGATATCTACATGAATCTACACTACAACTAAAAATTTAGGAGCTGCTGTAAAAAAAAAAAAAAAAAAATAAAATAAATAAATATAGATTGTAGCATCGAATATGTTGACATATCAATAAGTGGTTTTCTTTTCTTTTTTCTATGACCTTCCACTATATCGTAGTATATGAACAGCTTTATTCAGTCTTGCTTTCCTTCTGGGAAACATTCTTTTATAGTTTTTTTTAAATTATTCAGTCATGCCTCGTTTTTTTTTTTTTTTTTATTCTGGGAAATATTTTATAGTTTTCTTCAATTAAAAAAGTTCTTCAGTGTATAACAACACCATCATCTAAATACAGTTCATTTTTCATTAGAAAACTTAATTTTTGCAAAGCACTGCACGTCATTGTTATCTACATAAGACAAACACACGCTAAGTTTTAAAACTAATCTAATTGTTTAAATAATTTATAATTTTCTTTTCAAATTTTTATTTTGATGTGGAACCTAAGGGTTTTGCAGACTACACTTTGAAGACCACTGCACTAGAATACATACTGAAGATTTCTCATGGTCATGGTTGGTGTGCAAGTCTCCAGTTTTTGTTTTCTTTTTAAACCCTCTATTTCCCTACGGGACTTTAAAGTTCTATCAATTAAATTGCTAAGTTATATCCCAACTGGACATTTAAATTTTAAAATTTATTACAAAAATTTTAATTTAAAAAATGACAGAAAGACATATGACATACTTGTAAATTTCATGAGAGATGTTTCTCATGCATACGAAAATGTAATAAAATTTCAAACTCTTTTTTTCAAAAAGTAAAGTAATTTGGGACACAAAGGGTTAATGAAACATGCATTATTGTGTTTTTCGTGAAAATACTGCATACATGGGAAACACTTCGCAAAAAAAAAAGATTACGGATATATTACAGATATCTGGAAGGGAATATATCCAAATTAAAGTTAACGGCTATTGCAAATTTAAAGCAGAATTTTGACTTGAATCTTTTTTGTTACTTTTACACACATGACTTGAATCTTTTTTGTTATCTTGCACACAGACACAGGTGATATACTTTTACATACACACGTGATATTTTGGATGGTATGACGACAGAACTTCATTGAGAAAAACGGCAAAGTGTAGAATTGGGTGCCCCTTCGATTGGCAACACTTTTTTAAAAATTTTGACGATGAAACCTCACTTCTGGTTGCCACGATAGTTTTAACTTTGTTTTAGCTTCCCGATTTTATTTAAATGAAAATAGATTGATGTGTACATGGACATATTTAAGGCAGTGCGCAATGCCTAGTTTGGGCAATTCTAGGATGTTTTTTTAAGTAAAAACAGATCGATGTGTACATGGACACAGATCTTGTGCAATTCTTCGACTTCTTATTTTCGTTTTTTGTAGTGGCCATCTTGAAATTGTGCCTTCCAGGCGCTGATCTTGGCGTCAAAAAAGAATCGCCAATAAACAATGGGCACCCATTTGTAAACTTTTACCAGAAAAACACCAATTATTTTTCAAGCATGCCACAATGGAATGAAATTAAATGTAGCTGAAATACTGATTGCATAGACTGAAAAAGCAATGGAAACAGCACAAACATTTCCATGGTTATTTCTGGTCATTCCATTTTTATTTCTGGATGACTAACTGGTTGATCTTTACATTATGGTAATTTGGCGTTTTTTTGGCGAAAATTTGGCGACCAACTCTCCTACAGCAACCCTCTATTTTCTTTCCCGCCGCCATTTTGTCTTCACGAAGTAAAGACATGTTTCTTTTCTTTTTATCTACTGAACACTTCTTCCAACAATTTACTAGCCGAATTACACTTATGCTAGAAATTTTATCTAACAAAACTGCTTAATCATGACAAATATTCATATTCACTGCAAAATCCAGAAAAAGTACACAATACCATACTCCTTACGCGTTTTTCAAAATAACACATACACATAAACCATGTACACGCCGACTTATTTTTACTTAAAAAAAATCCCAGAATTGCACAAAAATGGCATTGCGCACACTCTTCACTATATCCATGTACACTGCTTTTTTCTCATCAATTAGAAAAATTTCACGAAAATACATGACAATTTTCTCAATCTTTAAACCCGGTAAAAAGAACATATATGAAATTACCTGATCGCGAAAAAGTATTTACCCTTTCCAAATATGAACATTTCCACATATAAAATAAACAAAATATCCAAAAACTTTTACCTCTAAATCATCTATTACATTATATACGTCACCAACGAATTCATATCGCAAGCATTACAAATACTTAGTATCAAAAATATTTAAATTATTTCCATGCACGTTTACTTCAACTTAAACGTATACCAAATTCCTACAAACATAAAATTCACAAAATAACTATCATTTAATTAAAATATCACTAAACCATGTACAGCCGACTTACTTTTACTTAAAAAAACATCCCAGAATTGCACAAAAACGGCATTGCGCACACTCTTCACTATATCCATGTACACTGCTTTTTTCTCATAAATTAGAAAAATTTCACGAAAATACATGACAATTTTCTCAATCTTTAAACCCGGTAAAAAGAACATATATGAAATTACCAGATCGCGAAAAAGTATTTACCCTTTCCAAATATGAACATTTCCACATATAAAATAAATAAAATATCCAAAAACTTTTACCTCTAAATCATCTATTACATTATATACGTCACCAACGAATTCATATCGCAAGCATTACAAATACTTAGTGTCAGATATTTAAATTATTTCCATGCACGTTTACTTCAACTAAAACGTATACCAAATTCCTACAAACATAAAATTCACAAAATAACTATCATTTAATTTAAATATAATTAAATTCAAAAACACTACTTAAAATATAAATGAGCACATACATTAAATAATACATACATAAATACCCATTTCGAATTCACTTTAGTTACGGCCATGGGATCCAAAAATTCACGAACACTGTTTCACACAACACAGAATAAAGCCAAATACAAAATTTCCAGATTTTTTCCCGATTTCCCCCCTTTTCCGATTAAAGAACCGTAATTTGTCCATTAATATCACATGACATATCCCATGATCTCTCATTTACCTCACACAAAATAATGCATAATCGGAACTGAGTACTGCTCACATTATTACCAAAGTCCCAGGTAGTAACCTTTATCGCCTCTACCTCGCCTATCTATGTCGCCAAACTACCAGTTACCATATTGTAAAGATCAACCGACTAACTTTAACAGGATTCTCAATTGGTACAATATTAGGGGTGCTATACTTTTATATGTGGAAAACACATTGTTACAACAGTTAAAGATTCCTAGCATAAATGTATTTATGGATGTTAGAATGTATAACTCAGAACCTCTTCAGTGAAAGAGAACCATTCCCAAGAAGGAACCTCTTCAGAACTCTCTTCTTAAATCAACTGCATCAAATCCTTCTCATAGTTTAGGAATTAGGCAAAATTCCTACCATCTACAAAAATTTCACGGCAGATGTAATATAACCCCAAACACCAGATGATCCTCTTTGATATTGTAAGTGGAATTTATTATTAATACTACAATAAATAAGATTTAAACGAAAAAATATTAAAAAAATATTCAATGATTTTATGAATATTTGAATAATGCAATTAATAAACAGTCAAAAGTAAATACAATAAAAACTTTCATGATGATTCATAAAACATTTAGATAATTACCATGGTAGCATAAACTAAGCTGGCATGCATTTCCTCATCAATCTGCTTATGTATTGCAGCTTCACAAGTTTTATGGAGAACATACTTATCTTTATGTGGCTTATTCAGCTCATTATCTAAAAAATGAAAATTATGCAAAATCACAAGCAAATATTTTTTTAAAAAACAGGTAATGGCAAACTTTAACTAACATGCGACTAACTAGTTAGAAGTATAAAAGCAAATGAAAACAAACAAAATTTAAGAATTTGTATTAATGGTAACATCATACAAACAAAAAGGCCGTCAGCGATAATTTCATCATTATTCTTGAAATGCATTTACTGTACAGAAGAAAGCATTTCAAAAGCTGCTGCAGAATACTTCAAATTGATTATATGTTATTAAATACGTATAATGGCCACAAGTTGGCGTGGAGTAACTGGATTCCGAAATACATGCGTATACACGTAACGAATACTGAATACTACTATTGCTTAAAAATTACTTTATCGGCAGGAAATAATGTGGGGTAGAATGGACGGCACAGCCAATTTTCATATAGAAGAAATTTGCCTTAATTTCAAAGGAGACAGCTGTACCAAATCAAAAGCACATGCAATACGCCACAGTTACAAAAAAAAAAGTAAATTCAGGCCTTACCATACAGGCCATAAGCCAAAGGAAGGAAAAATGTCAGCAGGAAGACCTTCATGATGATAACGATTAGAGAAAGTGAAACACTCTTCAACAAGATACAGACGGAAAAGGACCACTTATTTAGACGAAAGGCTAATGTTGATGAAAATATATTAATCTGATTGTAAAATATCAAATAAAAATCTGATAAAAAGGCCTTTGCACGCACTGGTACAGAAGGCGAAGAGCAAAGTCTACCACGATCGATAGGAAATACGCAACTAAACTAACTGCGCACTTTTCGCAACTAAATGTTGCCAATTTGAGACTCATACCTCTTAAAAATAAATGATGTGCATGAAATATTTATAAAATTTATCTTAAATAATTCGAACTTTTCCCAGAGGATAATTTCTAAGTTTCGAAAACCAAAAGGCATCTATATTATCACAAATAAAATCTATTTTATTGTACTATTTTATTTGAGAGACCTGCGGAAAACACACAGAAACCAACTCAACTGCAATCTCAAACTAAACCTTCATCAATTCTCCGTAAAGATCTAAACATACTGAACTGAATAAAATTAAGGAAAATTCTATCAAGTGAGATTATAGCGATCTCGTAAGTTAATCAACACTCGCAAAGTGGGAAGAGTTGGAATGCTTGAACTAGCGCACGGAAGCTGTTTTGCCTTTTCGCCGTATCTTTTTAATATATATACACAAGACATCCCTAAAGATCCTTCTGTTCATCTTGCACTCTTTGCCGATGACACCGCTATACTTACTAAAGCCTGCAAAGCAATCGTCGTCTTTAGCTTTAGAACCCACTTCCTTTCAGTAGCACAAAAATTTAAAATCACCTCTGCTACTATGCGACCACTTCTTGGTAGAAGAAGCAACTTATCTACAACAAAAAAATTAATTTTAGATCACTCCATACTTCGTCCAGCCCTCCTTTATTTATCTACGACATGAGAACACAGCTAAAACCAGTATAAAACAAGCACTACAAAATAAAATCGTATGATAAATTATCAATGCTCCTCGGTATATTCCAAACATTTACATTCACAGAGAATTATTAATAGAGCCTATACAAGACTATATTAAACGCTTAGCGGTCAACTTCTTTCACAGTTCACAATAATAGCCCATATATTTCCGGCGATGATATCTAAATTTTGGTCTAGAACGCTCATTTATTTGAATTGAACCAATTTTTTGTTCTAAGGCAGCTATTCTTGCTAATAAAGCATCATTAACGTTTGGCGAAACAGCATAAATTTCTTTTCCAGATTTTATCTCATGAAGAGCAGTGGCGTAGCTAGGGTGGGGCAAGGGGGACATCTGTCCCCGGGCGCAGCATCCAGGGGGCGCCAAATTAATGCTACGAAATCTTTTAAGGAAATGTTTTCCATTCTTGGCACACAGATGATGAAGAGTCAGCCATCGTGGCCAATTTCTCTAAATTCTCTTCACAGACGAGAAGAATATTCTTTATAAAATCGGGCATCTTATCCGACCATAAATATTTTAGTACATTTTCCGGAAAATAATGCGTGACTAGACTTTTCATTTGCTGCAAAAGTTGACTTGGTTTATAACCACCGAGGTCTAATCCAGTAACCAGACGCTGAATTCGCTTATTTTCACTTCCTTTGAAAACATTTAAAAGTTTTTTTCGCCTTAGAATATTTATTAGGCTTAGTGTCTTTAATAATGTCCCATATATTTTCAACATGCTTCAATTCAAGATGGGATGTAAAATAATTGAATCTAATCTCTTCAGTCGTGATTTTATTTATTTAAAATTTGACTTTGAATTTAAAATTTGATATTGGAAAAATCAAATATCGGGTTTTTCAAGCCAAAAAGATGGAATTTGGATGCTCACTTTATTCGCTTCGTCATCTATTAACGTTATTGCTTCTGTTAAGTTTTCAGTAGTCATCTCTACATATAATAAAAGAAAAGAGTCTGTGTGTGTGTCTTTCGTTCGTCCTGCGCGTAAGCTTATAGACCCAGGGCTACGAAATTTGGTATATAGGTGCATCTAGACAAGAGTCAGTGCACCTTGAAGCAATTTTTATCAAAATTCGAATCAGATTTTTTTATTTTATTTATTTATTTATTTTGGATGAAATCGCATCATTTTGAATAGTTTCATTCTTTTAGAAATGTGGTTTTGGTAACAGTTTTGGTAACATTATTACATCGCAATCTTCTTATTCTGACGCGCATGTGTCTCGCGAGGCCCAACAGACCTTTCCTTCCCCCCCTCTCTCTCTTTATTAGCTAATGGCAAAGAGGTTTGTATATTTTGAATTATGTTATCCACAAAGCACAATTTGGTTGGTTATTGCTTTCTGATGCTAGTTTCATTCTTTTAGAAATGTGGTTTTGGCAACAGTTTTTCATTCATTGCTTTGGATACTGGACTGCTGACTATTTTCTCTTGAAAATATGAAATTTATTGCTTATTCATTACAATAAATCTCATATTTCATTTAATTTTTCATTGTAATTTTTTATATTATGTTTTAATTATATAAAAAGTTTTGCATGAACTTTTTAGGAAACAAAGTTCTTAATTTTCTTTTTACCATTTGAATTCTTAAGATTTTGCAACGGGAAGTCGGTTAATTTATTTATCGCGCCCGCCTAGATATGATACTCCACTCAGTAGTGTCTACAAAACTACAACTCCTTTTCACTTTTAACTTTCCACCGCAGGAACTTTTCATTAAATAAAACTCCACTGAGTCATGTTCTGTGACAATAACTATTAATCTTCATAGGAGTAATAAAAACATAAATTTATTTATAGAAAAACTCCAGGTTTGCATCTGCAATTTTTTGCATATCACTACGACAGAAAAATAGGACACGCTCTTGTCAAACCGTTGCGGCTAAGTTTTGGCATCAAAAGATGTGGCTCGTCGATAGCTAATATTTTCCCGGCACAACGCTCATTTGAACAAAAGCTTGTTTTATATCTGTAGTCATTCAAACAGCACCAGATCGGAATCTGTTAAGTAGAGTTGGAATTTTCTGCATCCTATAGATCCAGTACTTACACATTCATTTAAAGGAGAGTATCCAGCTCATTTGCTGAAAGCGTCAAAAACTGGTCTTATGTCTTGTTGTAGCATTAGACAGTTTTGTCTCTGGTCGATGTGATAAATAATGAATTTTCCTTGAAAGCTCTTTCTCGGGGACAGTTCCTAAAATACGTTCTGTATACCTTTTAAGAAAACACCGTCATATGTGTTTTCTTTCAGAAGACGTCGAGTGACAGATATTAATCTTACGTCAACATTATAAAGAAAGAGATATCGTGGTAAAGAAACTTCATATATTTTATTTTTATTGAATCTAATAGTCTTTAAAAAATGCGCTGTGTTTCTTCTTTAAGAAACTTCGCAAAGTTTCTCTTTACGAGATCGTTTATTCCTGAAGACTCAATGTTAGGTGTCGTAAAGTTCTGTAAACTGCGTGACACCATATTTATAGTAGAGTTTTTTTTTTTTTTTTCCAGATCATAAATAACATCACCCAAACTTTCTCTCAATGGCGAGAATCCCAAAGGAAAGAATATCTATTATTCCTTGTTAAAATTTTAACAATGACATGTGCCCGAAGTTATAATCTGCACCAAGTTATAATATAGGGATATTTTTGCTTTTATATCTGTTAATGTCAGCACGTAAAAAATTCAAATAGTTTTATTCTATGAGTTGCGAGTTCACATATCAAAGTTTGATTTTGTATTCGTGGAAGAGTGGAACAAAGCGTATTCTGCTCCAGAAAATTTTTTATCTATGCGCTCGACAGTTAAATTGTACAGTCTGGGGTTTGCTTTAGGAGTCTGCATACTACCAAATAAATCCTGCAATAATAATTTCCCTCCCACAAGCGTTTAGATTTAACTAAAGTCCATTCAATGTATGATCAATGAGATCCATTATCAAGCAACGCATGAACACACCGAGTGTGTTTATCGCTTCGTATGCGTAACAATAATGTTTTTAAATAAATTTGTCTCTGAGAAGAATTGTTGGCACGTAACGTTTTCGTAATCTCTTTGTTGGAAATTTGCGTGTGAGAATTACTTTTGATTTTGTTAGGTTTGTTTTGTTTGTTAGGTTTACACAGATGAGTCAACGAACACTACTATAACATTTATTTGCCTCCTGTCGAGGTCATAAATGTAGGCAAAACATTTTGCTTAAAGCAGCTGCTTTTTGTCCTCTTTACTCCCTCCCCCGTTGACTCAGGCGAATGCCTGGGAAGTACTGGTTAGGATCTGTACCTAGGCGGTCTCAACCACGGGGAAATAACAACAGACTTCACAGAAGGCCTGAGGGCTCTCGGAACAGAATAAGGCTCGGCAGGGACCGTACTGGTACTGCCTTGTCTGCCTTTGCTCTGTGGGGTCGCAACATGGTGGATTGATCAAGTGGCGGGGCGGCACTTAATTCCGATTGGCGCTTATTAGGACGGAAGTTGTCCCGTTCCATCAGCGTTGTCCTGTTTACTCAGTCCACTGCGTTGTTTACTGTTTACAATCTTGAATGACATGTGAACAATCATAAAAAATACACTCATATTTATCGGGTACATGCAGAACTGACAAAACAAATGCTGAAGCAGAATGATGCTTAGATTTAACTGAACAAATAGAATATCTCTTATTTTTTTACAATGATCCCCACCCAGTTTCCTCCAGAAAAAGTTGTTCACCTTGAACCTCATAACGGAGAAAAGTTATCATTTCTTCCAACAATTTTTCTTTCGTGGCAAATCGTGAGATATCAATATCTGATTCGCTGTCTAAACGATTTCTCTCCCAAGCTTTCAAAATTTCGGTTGCTAAACACTATTCTACCATTGGATATAACACCTCAAAGGCACTTATTTTCATGAATACAGGAGATAATTAAACCTAAAATGACACCCAGTATCGCAGAACTAAATCAAATTCCTTGAGATCTAATTTCGATAAAGTGAAATTATCATTTGTAACCGTAGTTATGTTGGAAATATGCTGATCATTAGCTTTGACGAACTTAACGTAATTGGTTTTGATATAAGTAAAAGTATTCCTGTACGTTTTAATAGTATCAAATTCTATTTCATCTTAATCAATCAATGGCAATAGATCGGTGTCCACTTTAGATAATCTTTCTGCTTTATCAACAGTTTTATAGCATGAGAAATCTAAATTCTTACTTGCACCCGGCACAGAATCGAAAGCTCCAAATTCCTTCCATGCATCAGTAAG